CTGGAGGAGGGAGCTCCCCGTGTTCCCCCAGGCTGCTCACTCCAATGGAGCCACAGTGCCTACTGCCAGCTTTTTGTGGTGGTCTTTGCTGTCCTTTACTTCTTGTTGCCCCTGCTCCTCATCCTAGTGGTCTACTGCAGCATGTTCCGAGTAGCCCGAGTGGCTGCCATGCAGCACGGACCGCTGCCCACGTGGATGGAGAACCCCCGGCAACGCTCCGAGTCTCTCAGCAGCCGCTCCACCATGGTCACCAGCTCGGGGGCCCCCCAGACCACCCCGCACCGGACGTTTGGGGGAGGGAAGGCAGCAGTGGTCCTCCTGGCTGTAGGGGGACAGTTCCTGCTCTGTTGGTTGCCCTACTTTTCTTTTCACCTCTACGTCGCCCTGAGTGCTCAGCCCATTTTGACCGGGCAGGTCGAGAATGTGGTGACCTGGATTGGCTACTTCTGCTTCACTTCCAACCCTTTCTTCTATGGATGTCTCAATCGGCAGATCCGGGGGGAGCTGAGCAAGCAGTTTGTCTGCTTCTTCAAGCAGGCGCCGGAGGAGGAGCTGAGGCTGCCTAGCCGGGAGGGCTCCATTGAGGAGAACTTCCTGCAGTTTCTTCAGGGCACTGGCTGTCCCACGGAGTCCTGGGTTTCCCGACCTGTACCCAGCCCCAAGCAGGAGCCGCCTGCTGTTGACTTTCGAATCCCCGGCCAGATAGCTGAGGAGACCTCTGAGTTCCTGGAGCAACAACTCACCAGCGACATCATCGTGTCGGACAGCTACCTCCGTCCTGCCCCCTCACCACGACTGGAGTCCTGATGGGCTGCTGGACACTTGGAGGGAGATGGGGCTGGGGGCCGGTTAGGACCGCAAGGAACTCCTTGTGGGATCACCTTTTCCCAGCTAGCTGGGGCTGGGGGTCTCTGCACACAGCTTTCGCTTAGTGTTTTCTGGGTCAGGAACAGAGCCAACTGGATGGATATGCAGCAAAAGCCTTGGACATGGCTGTGAGCCTTGACAACTGGGGGAGGGAACCTGGTGAGATGGTGACGAGAATAAAGGGTCAAGAAGGTGAGATGATGCCTCTCAACCAATGAACTTTCCATGACTCAGGAAGCAGGGAAACTATAAGGGTAGGAGTTGGAAGATATAGGGCAGCACACCAGGCTTGGAGTTATTCTGGGGACCCTTTAGGACCTTTCATTTTTCAGTGTAATTGTCCAGGGAAGAAATTGCACTCAAGCAAGGTAAGAAAATGACCCATGTCTTCTCATTTCCTTGCTAGGTTTAAAAACAACTAAATTACAGCCAAGTGTTTCCTTTGAGTTAATAGATTTTTTTTTCTAGTTTTAAACCTGAGGTTTCCTTAAAGCGAGAGGACCAGCTGGGTATATTCCTTTCTTGAGTTTGGCCAAGCAAGGGGAAATAGCAATCAGGGAACACAGAGTAGAATAGAGGACAGCTGACTGCAGCTCTCTCTCTCCCACCCTCCAGGAACAGCCGTTCTGTTGTATTTTTCAGTTTCTCTTTTGGACATGGGAGATCAAGTTTGGGGCTTGATCTTAAAAGAGGCAAGAATAAAGCAGGATGGTTTTTCTCTTTGTCTTTTAGGATGAAGAAGTGGAAAGATTGGGGGTTGGATGGCTGAAGGTGGGGGTTAGCATTTGAATCGCTAAGGTGGTTGGATACAGAGAGGCCTGTAGTAACCCAGACCAATAATACTGTAAATCTTTTTTTTCCAGAGCTGGCCTCCCTGATCTCTCTCCTCATGGCAGTGACCCATCGCCAGCCCTCTGGACAATCGGGTACAAGAGACTAAGGTTGGGAATGGGAAAGGTGGGGTTTCCATGGTTCATTAAATGCCTCCCTACTCCCATTCATCGCTCTCAAAATTAGCTTCAGTGACAAAGACTTAAATCTCTCTCCTATCTGCAGCCCTGGGTTGGAGAGGGGGCACGGTAGTTGGGCTCAGCTGTTCACTGATTGAGACTGTAGGAACTGTGTTGGGTGGTCTTGGTGGTGGTATATTCAAGGGAGGGGGAATAATCGCAAACTGGACAGGACACCCATCTAGGACTACCCGTCCGTCCACTTCCCTCAATTCAATCAGGTCACATTAGAGAGTTGAGGCAGGACCACATGGTGGTGTGATCTGTATTTGAACAAATTCCTGGCTTGACTGAGCATCAAAGAGGAAGATGGCTTGGTGGGAGTGGGACAGTTTCCCCTCTGAACAGTTAATAAATAATTTTTATTATAAAAAGTTATGCTGATATCAACATTGACTCCTTCAGTTCAACTCAGTGCATGATAGTTGAATACCCTATTCTCTGGGACTCACACAGAGGATTTGGAGTCACTGCCTTCAAGGAGTTCACAGCCTAATTTGATCAGGTACCCTGTATTTTGACAGAGCATTTACATATGGTAAAGCACCATGGAATGTGTTAAGAGAAATATATTGAGGAATATGTTCATGGTTCTAACTTCTGAGAGTTCAGCCTATTGCAGCAAGATGCCTATATGGAGGCTTCCTGCAGATTGAAAAGTCTGGGGGCTATAGATGAAACTCTAGTTGAAGAAAATAATTTATTACATGAAACTGGGCAGCTTCTCCTCCTCAGATCTAGGAAATTTTCCAGGTTTCTGTCTTCCTACCACTAGACTTACTCTAGTCCAGTGCTTATTACATTGAGGAAATCCCTTAGATGATATATACATCGAGGAGAGTCTTTTGCGATTGAAATGCATGTTCTCCTCCTCTCTCTCCTCCTTCTAAAGATAAATTCATAAGGGAGGAATCTCATTCCTAGATAGGGTGAAAACTTCTTCCGAACACCACTGATGAGCTAGCCGACCCTAAACATTGCCAGCAGGTGGCAGTGTGAGTCCAGTGGAGCTAGGAAAGATGAGTGCAGGTGGGGAGGGAGGGGGGGACACTAAACACTGCCTGGCAGCCATTTTGTTAACTTATTTTGCCTTTTGTTTGACTTTGCCCTCCAACTCTTCCTTCACATACATCAAAGGAGAAAATCTTAAGTACAAGAATATGGCAAATTCAGGCTGAAGTTTCCTGACACTGTGATCTCACTGGTGTTTATTACAGAATTTGACATATGCTGGTTCATTTGCCATTTATTTTTCCCAGAGTGGATCATGAAGGAAATAAAATTTTCTCTTCTATTATGCTGAGAACTTTCCCAACAATTTGTCATGACCACCTTCCAGGGGTTTTCTAATCACCAGGATCACTTGGTAAAGTTCTATATGTAATTCTTAGCTGTGAAAGCCATTCCTGGACAAAATTTGACCTCTAAATCCACCGAAGAAATCAACAGGTTGAGAAAACCGTGCTCTCAAGTTATTTTTTTCCTGCACCCTGGTGGTGTTGGGGTAACTTTCAATCCTAGATGAAAACCTTCTGTTGTCAGGTCGCCCAGGTAACATCTTATAGTAGCATGGTAGAAAAGGAGTGAATTTGGAGTCAGATCTACTTACTCACTGTGTGAACTTGGGAAAGATGCTTAATTTCTCTGAGCCTATCTCCTCATCTGTAAAAATGGGGATAATATTAACCTACCTCACAGGGTTGTTGTGAGGAATAAAAGAGATGACACATGGAAGCACCTAGCCATACCTGGCAAATAGGTACTCAATAAATATTGGTTTTTCTTCCCTTTCCTCTTGCCCTTTTTCCCCGTAAGTATTGATTATGGGAAAGCAGTCCCTTTTATTCTAACGGTCACTTGGAAAAGAGTAGGAGACTTCGAACTTTAAAGAACTGGCAATAATAAATTATGGTGGATGAGGCTGTTTAAGGTGGCTCTCAAGAAATTCCTCTAATGATCATCCATCACCATATAGACCTTTCTGTTTGGACCGTATATTCTAAGGTTTAGGTTCTATTGGGGAGATAATATTTAATTGTAGGGAAGGGTTTTGGGGGCTACAAGAGTTCCCCTCCCTAGAATATATGGTGAGAGTATTTGTGGGGCTATTTGGAAGTAAAGGTAATTTAGGGCTACTTTCACCTTAGTATCCAGGATTATGAGTAAAAAGGCTATCAGTCTGGGGCTTTTATAGGTGATTTATCAACTTTCAGGTGATGCTATGGCTGAGAGGTAAATTTTACCAGAACTTTCCTTTTCATGTGGTACAACAGGTAATTTTAATAGGAGATTCACAGGATGCACTGGTTTGTTTTAGGGTGTGGAACTTTGGTTGACTAAACCTGGTAGAAGTCCTAAGCCCTTAACGCAGGACGATATGTGAGCGCTAAAACTGGCTTATGTTGGGGAAAGACAGCATGGAAATTTTATGGAGAAACTACACTCTTACCTTTCAAGTAAAGTAAGATCCGTTAGCGATTTCAAGTGACCCTTTACCAACGTAGTGGCTGGGCAACTCTCTAGTTCACTGGGTACATTTTGAGAGCAGGAGGCGGTGGGCCAGAGGAGAGAGCAGAAAGGGATAGATAAAGTCCCAGGCATGGTCGGTCTTACTAATTTCAGATGTAGAGCGTGGCCAGGGCCCAGACTCTGTAATTCTCATCCTATAGATCTGGTTGAGACAACTCCGGCCGAGAAAGTGTCCTACACTTGGGCAGAGGCCCCGGATCTCCACAGCCAGAGTCCAGCTGGGTTTTCTGGCCAGTGAGAAATTCCCAGCAGAGATTTCCTTGTGGGCTGCGGCCTTTTATTTGGGAATTCCTATCCCCCACGTCAATCTGAAGCCGCCTGTGTGACCTCGGGAGGGTGTCTTGAGCCGGAGAAGCCAGTCCCTGGTTTTTCCACACTTATCCAAATAAGGCAGCCGAAAAGGTGAAAGGGGACTAAGGTCGAGCGGCGCCCGGCGAGATCGACAGGGCAGCCCTACACCACGGAACGACCGCTTGACCTGCTCGTTCCTCTCTTCGTTCTCCCGTTCCCGGTTGTTCCTCCTTTACCCTAGCCAGACAGGGCCGAGAAGTAACGGCCGCGGGCGTTGCCGGAAGTGTCGTAAAACGCCGGATATCCGGTTTCTCTGGGCGCTCAGGGAGCTGACGGAGAGGGCCGCCGCCCAACAGTAGACGCTGTCTCCGCCGGCCCAGCCGCGGTCTCCGGTGTGTGAGTGAGCCCGGGCCTGGTCCCCTCTCCCTCCGCCGCCATGGGCTGCACTTTGAGCGCCGAAGACAAGGCGGCGGTGGAGCGAAGCAAGATGATCGACCGCAACTTGCGGGAGGACGGGGAGAAAGCGGCCAAAGAAGTGAAGCTGCTGCTACTCGGTGAGGGGCTGGGGGCGGGGCTGGCGGGGTGTTCCCGAGGGCCCAGGCACTTGGGAGTCCTGGGCGGGGGGTCAGGCCGGGCCGGAGGAGAGGACCCCAAAGGATCTGGAGGGCGTGACGGACGTGGGGCGGGGTGTGGGGGGTTGGTGGCTGAGGCCGGAGGGCGTGATGAGGGGGTGGGGTTTTGGGGTGGTAGGAATTAGGCTGGAGAGAGGGTGTGCCTCCATGCTGGAATTGGGTTCAGCGAAGAGAGCTTGAAAGTGTGGTCCAGTAGGACATTGAGACTGTATTAGGAATATGGGAAAAGCTCATAAAGGAAGAGCTGATGTTAGGGAAGGTTTTGCAAGGGAGGGGTTGGAGTGAGTTGGTAGCGAGGACGGAAGAGTGTGTTGGGCTTGTATAATGGCTTGTGAGTTTGGAGCGTGGTGGTATTTTATGACAGGTTAGAGTTAGGAGGCTTGAATAATTAATATAAATAGAGAGGGGGGCAGGGACAGAGTGGTCACATAGGATCTTGTCATTTATTAGAGAGTGGGCATTTTGAACTATCGGTAAGGTGGAGGAACTCTGGGTTATCCAGGAGCAGGAAGATGTGTGGTTGAGATAAATGACAAGTTCTCAGGTGTAAAGGAAAAGAGTTTGGGTGCAGAAGCTGTGTGTACTTATCCATCTTTTTCTATTATTTTTATTCTCTTAAGGTTTTATAACTCCTTTCCTTGTTTTTATAAAGTGGGAGGTTGTGTGAGCTGAGGAGATTTAAGGACTTGCTGGTTTGAGGTTTGTGGCATAAGATGTGATGATAATAGATTACACAGTGGGAGTTGCTGAATAGTTGCTAGGGATGATGTGCAGTGGGACTGCAGTTATCTTAGGATAAGATAAATATTGGACATATTTACTGTAAAAGGTGTGACAGTGACAGATTTCTGGTGAGCTGTTCTTTTTTTTTTTTTTTAATATTGGCTTCAGGAATTACTTTTATTTTACCTGACATTTGTTTTAAGTAGCTTTTATGTACAGTCAGATGCATTTTACTCAGCATGGTTAGTTTTAGAATTTTTGAGAGACTGGTTTCTAGAGGCTCAGTAAATCACATAAAGTACCCTGGCATCAGCTTACCAAAAGATCAAGCCACATTTCTTCACCTTTAGTATTTTCTAGGGATCTGTCAGGGAAGACTAAATAAGAGTAATGGTTTCTGTAAGCAATAGAACTTTACTTTTTAAAACAAGTGTTTTTTGGGAAAAAGAAGTTGCTTTAGGAGAAGTGCCAAATTTTTATTGTGTAAAGCTCCAGAGGACACAATGCACCGCCATAACCCAGGGTTTATTTTGTACTCCAGGGTGTTCTGGGTGGCCATGCTAGTCTTTTCATATTAACATGTTTGATGGTTTGTAGATTGCAGAAGCCCTGGTAACAGCTTTTTGGATAAAGAGGGAAAGTTATGCGTTGGAGCTTGAGCTTTCAGTTTGAATACCCGATCTTACAGAACATATGAAATAAAATTGAAATTCCAGACTGCCACTCTCCGTATAACAGTATCATTTGTGAATGAGCGTGGTCCCTGGTACATAGTAGGTGCTTCTTAAATATATACTGTTAACCAGCATGTGCCAGCTAATGTTGGACATTGCTCCTTGGGGCCTTTCAGATGTTTGATATAAACCAAAATACTCAAGGCATTAGCATTGTCTCGATTGATTAGTTATGAAAGTAAAGGTGTATTTTCATCTTCTGTGGTTATTTTGATTTACATTCGTCATTAGAGATCCCCTCAGGACATTAGCCTATTGTGATACAGGACTTTATAAATAGTACATTTAATTAAAAACAAAATTAAACACATGATCACTTAGGGAACTTCAAAAGCAGTAAGTAAAAACATTTGCTTTTACTTTTCATCAATTTCATTGTTTTAAGTAAGATTTTTTTATATTCTTGAGCAAGTTAAATCAACAAATTCAAATAGGTGGCAGAGAGAGATGTTCTTGCTTGAACCATAACAACACACTTATGAAATTAAAGTTATTTTCCTTGCTATTTCTGTAAGCAAAATACACCCATCACTGTATACAAATAATTTTCTTTTTGCTGTCGAATACCTCCTTTGATGTACATGCAAGTCATTTTTACCTCATCACTGTAAAACTATCAAACTTGGTCTAAGTTGAGATCTATTTACTTACTTTTGGGTTTCCTGGCACATAATAGGTGTTCTTTAAATATTACTGTATTTCCTTCCTTGCGGGGATGTAATTTAGCATAGTGATTAACAACATGGGCTCTGAAGTCAGACAGTTTCAAATTCTAATTTCCAGTTACCAACTATAACCTTGGAAAGTTGTTTACTCAATTTCTCTCTGCCTCAGTTTCCTCATCTTTAAAATGGAGAAAACAGAGGTACTTCATAGGATTGCTCTGAGGATTAAATATGATTATAATGTGAAGTAGAACAGTCTGGCACAAAATATTAGTGTAATGAATATTAGCCACCATTGTTATTATTATATCAAAATGAATGTTACAGATTAAAGGTACTATAGAAATTCAGATTAGTTAAGGAAGAATGCAGTATTATAATTCTTTGGTTACCTTTGGTTTAAATTTCTTTTAGATGTGTTATTGAGAAGCTCTTGATATACCAAATTAGTGTTTAATCATAATATTCTACAGAAAAACAAAATTATGTTATGCAGGGCTTCCTAACCAGAGTGTAGTGCATAGGAAGGCATACAGTGTGCTGTTTGCAAATGTTTTATGGTTTTGAAATTTTAAATCATTTTTATGATTTTTAAATCATTTTATGATTAACTTCTCAAAATTTTACAGCAGTTGGAATGATATTTGAACATTTTTGATATGATTCCATCAGTAAAGTCTGAATTTGGCAATTGAAAATATTTGATTTGGAAGGTTTATACCAATTAGTATTTAATATCATCTGTAATATTTTGTATTTTATTTTTCATGTCATAATTTTATAATATTAAGAAAATATGTATTATTTTCACCAAGTCCCTCCAGCTTACCTCAGTAAGCTTTACAAGTATTACCATTTTCAGCATGCGACATTATGTGACCAAAGTTGGGAATCACTGGGATAATGCATAAGAGTACTGCTTTTGGAGTCTCATAAAACTGAATTCAATTCCCACCTCCATTTACTAGCTGTGACACCCAGAGCATGTAACTTAAACATATGAGTCTTAATTTTCACATATATAAAGTGGGGATGTGATGCTTATTTCAGAAGATCAAATGAGATAATGTATGTAAAATACTTAGCAGATAAATATTCACTAAGTGATGACTTCTGTCATTACAATGATGTTTGGAAAACTTATCATTTTAGCTACTTTTTTCAAGGGTGTTTCAGACAGATATTTGATTATTTTTCAAATATTAATGTACCCTTTTCAAAGATCTTCAAGGAATTTTAATATAACTGTTTTGTGGTAAAAGGAATTAAACATTATCATTTAGTTTTGTAAGTTTTTGAATGATCTACTCCTATGCTATCTCTGTCTATCCATTTCTTGATAGTTCCCCTTAGCAGATCTTGAGAAAACATTGTTATACAAAATGAAGTTAATGCTTTGTTCTTTAGGATTTTGCTGGTAGTGGTATGGCAAAGATTAAGTTGCGGGCTTCCCTGGTGGCACAGTGGTTGAGAGTCCGCCTGCCGATGCAGGGGACACGGGTTCGTGCCCCGGTCTGGGAGGATCCCACGTGCTGCGGAGCAGCTGGGCCCATGAACCATGGCTGCTGAGCCTGCGCGTCCAGAGCCTGTGCTCCGCAGCGGGAGAGGCCACATTAGTGAGAGGCCTGCATACCGCAAAAAAAAAAAATTAAGTTGCATGCAGAGAATTGGAATCATCTAATTCACTTAAACCCTATATTTTATATTTGATTATTTACATTTAAATATCTGCATGTTACTGGCTGAATATGCTTGTTATTGAAAATCAGACTGTCCTTTGATAAATATGCTATTATATTGTCATAAGATGATATCCTTTCTTTATAATGTTTGGTATTTATTTGGCTTGAGATTCCTGGACAGTTATTAGATTTCTTGTGGGGATGCATCTCGTGCCTGGGCAAAAGAAACTGGCATAAAAAACAGAAATTCACAGTGCAAAAATAGGTTTATTTCTTATAAGCACTTATTATTCTTTGTGTCTTTTATTTGCATTCATCACTTCTGCAGTCTGAAAGTGTGGTATCCTTTTCAGGAATTATAGTATTGTAATCTTGCCTGAGTATGCTAATTATGTAGTAAGTACAGGGATGACCATAGAGTTGGGTGCTTAGTACTTAGTAGATTTGACAGGACATGTAACTTTTTAATCAGGGCTGCAACTGTGTTTCTTTAAAAATTTTAGCCTATTGAATGTATTTGCACTATTACAAAAAGTCTTTTAGTTTTGGAGCAGTGGTCTCTGATAAAAGTAGTTTGTTCTTTTAGAGAAGTTAGGTAGAACCTCAACTTTATCCCTCCCCCGTGGTGCTGAGCTGCTTCATCCTCTAGTTGCTTGGAAATGAAAAGGGAGTGGTTGAGTCTCTACAGATATTTCCTCTTTTTTTCTGAACCCTGTCTCTTCTTTCACAGTTTCTTCCACATCATGCCTTTAAAAAAAAACAACCTGGGGTGTGTGTACCCCTTAGGGCTTCAGAAGATCCATGAACTTTCTAAAATTTTTAGCGAAATTTGTGGTTACATGTGTTTTTCTGGAGAGAAGAGCCATATTTTTCATCAAGTTCTTCTTCCATGGTACTGCCTAACCTCCTTAAAGTCCTTCATCTTTGGACCAGGAAAATCAGTAGCTGGGCAAAAATGGAACATTCAGAATGAAAAAGAAAAAACCTAGCACATAATAGGTGCTGGCACATAATAGGTGTTCTTTAAATATTACTGTATTTCCCTTGTGAAAAGTCTTTTACGTCTTTTCTCTAAAAGTTTTTTCCTTGGAATTTTTGAGAAAACTGTTTTCTGTACT